TGACACATCAGGAATGGGACAAGTGACCTCCACATCTGTCCATCACTCACTTCACCCCAAAACAAATCTAGAATTACACTTAAGAATGAGAATACTTACCCATGAGAAATATCTTATTCATAGATTCATAGAATGTTACGGCACAGAAGGAGGCCATTTGGCCCATCGAGTCTGTGCCGGCTCTTTGACAGAGCAAGTCACTTTCACTAACCTCAATCACCAGCTTTCTCCCCGTAACCCTGCAAACCCGTCTTCCCCAGATACCTATCCAGTTATGATGACCAAGGATTAGGGCATAATAGGTCTAATTCTAACCCGAGAAAATTTGTCTCCTCAGTTAAAGTGTTTGGATTTTTTAAAAATACCATCATTATTATGTGACAGAAACTTTTATTTGTTGAGATTTCATTCTACGATAACTGCAACATTCTTGTACATATTGTATACAGTGTAACTAGGATGTAATTTGTGTTACTTAAACTTGTATAAGTAAGTGATAAATGACATCTAATTAAAGTCTGGAAAAGAAGACGTTAAAAGAAATCAGACTTTTAGCAGAATAGAAAGGCAAAGAAAGATGATACATTGTACAAAAGATTAACGTATCAGGAAAAAAACCCGAAACCTATGTAGTAAGCTTTCAAAATTGTCCACATTGTTTTAACTGTTTCTGATATTGTAAATTTGTGAGATATTTACTTTACATTGTATCAAAAGTAAACTTCAACCAGAAATCTGCAATACTTCTGGTACCCTCCCTGCTCGAGTCAAAATCCCTGACAGTTCAGCGACTTGGGAAGTCCTCCCGTCGTGAAAGGAGCTTTACAAATATAATTTATTGCTGTTGTTATTGCCAGTTAATTATTAAAACATGAATCACAAAAAAAATTAGTATGAAAATATTTAAAACATATTTAAAATTAATTATTAATTTTCAAACCTGTTTAAAGAAAACTGACTAGTACATTTTTTTTAAAATTGCTAATGCTTACAGAAGGCAATTTACTAAAAAACAATACAAATACAAAATTACATTTGTATAGCACCTTTCTTGTCGGGGGGGCGTCCCAAGGCGTTGGACAGTCAGGAATTTGGACCCGAGAGGTGGGGTTTGGGATCAGGGAGGTGGAGGGCAGGGAGGGTAGGAGGGTGGCTGAAGGTTCACGAAGAGAAGGGTCTTGAGATGTGCTTTGAAGGAGGCAAGGGAGGGAGCAAGGTGAAGGGAATGTGGGATGGAGTTCTAAAGGGTGTAGGCAGAAAGGCTGAAGGCCCAACTGCCAATGGTGGGCAGAGCAGGGTGGAGGACGTGGAGCAGGCGCGGAGGGAGCGAAGTCATTGATATGGGGTTAGCAGATCATAGAGGTAGGAAGGACCAAGGCCGTGGAGTGCCTTGAAGGCAAGGACGAAGATTTTGAACTCTATCCTCTGGGGGATAAAGAACCAATAAAGTCAGGCAAAGGTGGGGGTGATGGGATTATGGAGCTTGGTGCAGGAGAGGACACAAGCTGCAGAGATCTTATTATGTGGGTTTTAGTGGTCTGAGTGGTGAGGCAGGCATTGGTGTGGAGGTGGATGAAGGCAGAACAGATGTGGGGTAGACAAATATACTTTGTTGTTGTGACACTGTCAGTGCCTGATATGTGGAGGCACCAACTGGAGTCAATCAGGAAGGCCTCGGTCTTCTTGACGTTCAACTCTAGAAAGCTAGCTCTCATCCAGGACTTGATGTCTGTCACACATTCTGTGTCCTGGTCCTGGAGTTGAGAGTGGAGCCAGAGAGGTAGAGTTGGTTGTCATCGGCATACATGTGGAAGTTGACCCCATGTCTGTGGATGATGTCACCAAGATGTTACCAAGCATGTATATGTTGAAGAGGAGAGGACCAAGGACAGAGCCCCGAGGAACGCCGGACGAGACGGTGGGAGGGCTGGGTAACAAAATAAAAAAGAATAAAAATTTTATGATTTATTAAATGTCACGCACAGCTTTGCAGTCAATGCCACAGGCTGTGCACTTTAAATGCTTTTCTCTCATTGTTGCCTGTGCTGGTCTTCTCTTACAAGTGCTATTGATCGATTGAGTGACTGATTATTGGATTTTGCAAATAATCTCCTGCTATCCAGGTAATGCAAAACAACACAAGGATTGCCGTTCTAAATTATGTCAAAAGTATTATTTTTAAAAAATTATGCAATTTTGTAAGTGCAACTTCCAATTTTTGGGGCAGTGTAATTTTCCTTTTTTTAAAAAAACAAAGTAATGTTCCTGTTGAACTGGACTTTTCTCGCAATCAATTCAAAATAAACAATATGATTTTAAAAAAACTTTTAAAATTCCCAGGGTGCATCCATAAATCTTTAAATGTTATGAAGCAGCATGTTGCATACTGACTCTTGAATAACGTAAAGAAAATAACAACAATTGTTAATTTGTTTACGTTATTCAAGAGCCAGTATGTAACATGCATACTGACTAACAATAAACATTTAAATTTAATACTGACAAACAATAAACCTTTCACATTGCGAGCAGCATTTCCCTTCCACCCCCCACTAGAGAGGCTTCTCACTCCTGTTGGTAACTCACTCTTCTCCTATACATTTGTCTGGAAAAGCAGAGTGAAGCAGTATGAGGAGATTCAGGAGAAGGAAGACAGAGGAGTATTTGCAGTGGGGGCTTTGGGATTAACGATCATTCCCTCGTGGATCAATCAAAGTTGGGAAGAGATGAAGGCTGGAGGTGAAAGCTGAATGAAAACACTAAAACGGAAGATTTAAAAAAATATATACAGAGAAGGGAGATGGATAGGAAGTAGAATGACAAGAAACCAAATAGCAAAAATAATCAACGAAAGAACAAAAACAGGAAGAAAGAAAATCTGTATAGTTCTATTTTGCGATCATCTTTTGGTTACTTTCCTCTAACCTAGGTTGGGCTTCCAGTCAGCTCTTTAAGACATCCTCTTGATGTGGAGAGCTTAAACCTGTATAAATATAAACTCGTTGTTCTCCTTGCTAAAGGGATCAATGAATATTGACGAAATAGGTGGTAAATAAACTGGAAGGCATTACATTTCTTCCTGCACAAAATTCCTAAACATATGGATTTTTTTTCAGGTTCGAAATAAATCTCATGATATTTTATACCAATCACAAGATTTGTATTAATTATGCATCTCTTGTTTATTTGAGGATTTCTAATGTTTATTTCCATTTGCTCCCAACTGACAGTTGCTGCAACGTGAGCCCAGGCATTCAATACATTGCTCAAGTGAATTGTCTTCATATGCAGTGCTGAACAACGAGTACCAACAGGTTATTTGACTGCTGAACACATCACAGCTGAATCCAAGCTTGTTCTTGCCCAGTTGCCAGCCGGACAGGGATCAGGCATGGGGACCCTAATCTGGGCTGGTGAAGCCAATTGTAGTGCCCCAATTGCCACCCCACTGAGATCAGTTAATTCAATGCAGAGTGTGAATTGTGCTTCAGTCTTTCAACGCGAATGGTTTAGTAGAGCAGAACCTTCAGTTCTCTGAGATTGTAACTCTCAGGCTGGCAACAGTTGTAATAATAATAATAATCCTTGCACTTGATAGCGCTTTTCACGTCAGAAGGACGTCCCAAAGCGCTTTACAGAACACACTGTAAAGTGAATTGACTGTATATTTATGGGCAAACGCGGTAGCCAATTGCGCACAGCAATGTCCCACAAACAGTCGTGGATTGAAGTGACCAATTTATTATTATTTTTGGTTTTGGAGGGATTATTATTAGGCTCTGTGTGGAGTAAGGAAACTTGCCCAAGGTTTCGCCCTCTGCCTGGAATTGAACTCAGGTCTCTCGCTTGCAAAGCGAGTGCTCTAACCACTGAGCTCCAGGACTCCACCAGTTCCATCCCCTTCAGAGTAGTCACTTGCCTGGTGATGAGGGGGTGGATGTGGGTGTCCGGCTCCTGTGCAGAATCGGATTCAGCAAATGCGATCAGTTCAAATAGTTTTTTTTGAAACTTGGCTGTTGCAGTTGCAGAGCTGCAAAACCTGTAGAGCAATGCTAGAAGTGGGGGGGGGAAAAAAATTCCAACTCATCGGGGGCTGACACACACCACCAGCAGAGAGAGGTGCAATGCACGTTAAGAAAAAAAAACCCCAGCTTGCTTGGAAATATTTAATATGCGAATGTAATTGAAATCTCACCTGGTATTTTGCTCGCACATATAGGTAATAAAGATAAGGAGCTGGAACAAAAAACAGCTTCACCGCAAAAAGGCTTTATTGCATTGGTCTTAGATGATTGTTGTGTGCGATGGGTTGAGAAGTATTTGCGCAATAACTGGATTATTTTTTTTTCGCGCGCTGTGGGGTGTGTTTGCAAACCAGCAGCGGGCATTAGCGGTGGCGTTTTCTTTCGGTTCCTGCTCAACGGGACCGAATATTCACCGATCTCTCTCATGGGCGCGCGTCGTGACCGCACAGTCATCGCCTCCATGACCGCGCGGGGAAGAGGGAGTGCAGGTACGCGCGCGGCCGGTGGAGAGCGCCAGCGACTCACCCGAGCAACAGCTGGAGCTCAAGCACTCGTACGTGGAGGAGAGGATCAGGAGGAAGAGACCGAAAGAGCGGGAGCGGCTGAGCAACCGGGAGCGGCGTCTATCTCCTTCGCGCGGACTGCGCGCGCCTCCTTCCGCAAGAGTTCTGCTGGATGCAATTTGCGGGGAGGGGGCGGTGGATCAAAGCACTCAGCGAACAGCTCTTTACCTGGGCTCGGGCGGTACAGCTGTGAAGACGAGTCACCTGCAGTGAAGGAAACTTAATTAGAGGGAGTGAGAGGAGAGGGAGAGAGGGAGAAGCCGCGAGTTCTTCCCGCATTCAAAACAACTGTCGGACACTGAGGATCCCACCGCCGCCACGAGCCGCCGCCGCCACGAGCCGAGGCAGCGAACGCTCCGGGCAACGCTCGGACGGGTCTCGCGTTCCTCCCCTCTCCTCTCGGCGCGAGCCGATGGCGCTGATCATGGAACCTGTCAGCAAATGGAGCCCGAGCCAAGTGGTGGACTGGATGAAAGGTAAACCCGTGCGACCCAGGGAGCGAGTCCCCGGGGTGGGGAGGGGGGGCTGTGATGGTAGTCCTCCGAAAATCAGGAACGTCGGGCAGACTGGGCAACTCAGCGGGCGGTTTAGTTCAGTTCCCCCTTTCAGCTCTCCGGCTTGTGGTCCCGCTGGAAAGTTTTTTTTCTTAAAAAAATATATATATTATTTAGCTTTTTGGGAGGTTAGGATCGAGATTTACGACCGCATTAATTTTGGGGGTTGACTTTGGATGTACGCCCGTGGCGCAGCCCAGTTTATTTGAGCTGTTGGAGCTGCGCTGGGCAACGATGCCTTATTTACCTGGTGCTTTTTATGCCGATGTTAAGTTAATGTCTGTCATCCACTACAACTATGTGTGAAAACCATGGAAACCTCGCTTCACTTACTGCGTTTGGCATCGTGCAGGAAATCTGCAACGGGGGAGGGGGGGGGAAATACTTAGATTAATATGAAATGGGCAGTTGCAGCCACTAACACCGGGTTCCGAAAACCATCACTTTGGACCCATTCCCGTGGTTTGATCTGTTCATTTACACGTCTTGATTTTGTACAGATTTGCTATATGGCGATTGCTTTTTTTTAAAAAAAATCAGGATTTGGCAAAATCTCTACATTTTCTAATTGCTTGTTTGTATGGGGAATGTTAGCGGAGGAGCCCAAACAAACGTGTTACACTGTATTACTAATGTTATCTGAAATCAATACAATGTTTGGTGAGAGCTGGACACCACTCCGACCTATACCTTGCATGAAGAAACGGGTCCAAGAGGATATTTTATTGCCAACACACTTTTTGCCCATTTAATCTTAATGCATATATGCCTCGCTGTGTTTATAGATCCATTTGGGAACAAAAACATTACCTGTGATAGTACAGTATTTTGGCATACCTCAAGGCACAAGTGTGTGCTGATGAAATCTGGCTCAAATCCAATCCTCCAGTCCACCACCAGATCTGGCTGGACTCTGCCAAAATCTACTGCTCCAACCTCACCTCAGCTAAATTGTCCTTCTATTTCCAAGATCATTTTGGAAGGTAAGGACAATCCCAGGCTCCTACCTCCACCTTCCCATACCTCGCCCATCCTCTCCTCTAACTCCAAATGTCAGTAGACGATGGACTTCCTGGAGTCCAAAATGTAGGGGATCCACTATGCTGTCTCTGCCCTTTCTACTGCTATCCCCTCCTCACCTCCACCTAGCCCTCCCTCCACCCTTTTGTCCCTGTCGTTCCTTCTTCTCTCACATCCATCATTTCCCAAATGAAGCCCACCACCTGCTCACTTGATCTATCCCAATACTTACCTCCCAGCTCCACCTCTTTGCCCCCCTACTAACAGAGACTACCCACCTCTCTCTGTCCCCTGGCACTGTTCCCCCTACTTTTTTCTTTAAAAAAGCTGTCATCACCCCATCCTCTTAAAAAAAACCTTCCCGTAATCCATCTCTTATTATTGACCCATCTAATAAATAATAATAATCCTTGCATTTGATATAGTACTTTTCACATCTTCTAGACGTCTCAAAGTGCTTCACAGAATATACTGTAAGTGAATTGACTGTATATTTTGTGGTCGAAACGTGTGCATTTCCAACCTTCCCTTTCTTTCCAAGGTGCTGAAATGAAATGATACATTGCTTTGCTGTTGAACTTTTCAATCTGGTTTCCATCCTGACCATAGTATGGAAATGGCGTTGGTCAAAGTTACAAATGATATTCTGTTGATTAGTGACCAGGGCTCTATATGTCTCCTCATTCCTCTTGATCTCTCTGCTGCCTTTGACACTGTCGACCACTATATTCTTCTCCACCGCATCTCCTCTCAGCTTCACTTTCATGGCTCTGCCCTCACCTGGTTCCATTCTTATCTTTCCCATTGTCTCCACTTTGTTTTCACCAATGGCTTCTCCTCCAGCTCCCGCACCGTCACATGCAGTGTTCCCCAGGGCTCTGGCCTCAGTCCTCCCCCTTTTAATACTTGCATGCTCCATTCCCAGATATCATCCCAGGCATATGGTTAACTTCCATATGTATGCAGATGATACTGTCTCTACCCTCGACTCCAGGATCATTACTGTCCTGACAGATTCTCTGTCAGAGATCAAGTCCTGGATGAAAGCCAATTTCCTACAGTTGACTGTCGACAAGACCAAGGCTCTTCTGCTTGGCTCTCATCAGCGCCTCCTCAGCTCCGGCGCTGACTGGATCACTATTCATGGATGCACAATCCACCTCACCGATCCAGTACGGAACCTTGGTGTCTTGTTCAACTCTCAATTGTCTTTTAAATCCTACATCTATGCTATTACCCGTTCTGTTTTGTCCCACTTCTGCAACATTGCCACCAACTGCTCCCCTCCCCAGGCTGCTGAAACCATTATCCACGCTTTTATTACATGCAGGCTTGATTATGCTAACTCCGTGCTTGTCGGACTTCCCAACTCTTCCCTCCATGAGCTGCAGATTATTCCGAACACTGAAGCTCAAATCCTCTCCTGTACTAAACTTAGGAGCCACTCCACCTCCTTTAAGGCCTATCACAGGACCTTCCTTTTCGACCATCTCTTCAGTCAACTTCCCTCCTCCATCCCCCTTGCCCTTACCTCTCTCTGATCCCAACCCGCAGCTCGGGTGCAAACCTCTCATTATCCAATGCCTTGGCACGTCCTCTTGACGTGATGCTCTATAATTGCAATTTATTCTCTTCAAAAGACAAATGTTTACTAAATTGCTGTAGAGCCTCTTTTGTACATTGCATTTTTTTAAAAAAAAGCTTTGAACCAATTCTGTCTTCAATGCTACATGTGATGAAGAAACGTGTGACGACTTGAGACTTTCCTATCATTGGAGGCTATGGACTGAATTGGGAAATTCTGTTATGTTCTAACTCAAAACCAGGGTGAGATGGGCCTTGGAGGGGGTGAGGCGGAGGAGCTACAAATGGAGGCAGTGGAATTCCAGTGGGAAGGGGAAGAAAGGCTGAAGGCCTGACCGTTGATAGTGGAGTAGGCCGGGTGGAACACATGGAGCAGGCCAGTGTCTGTGTAGTCGAGGGAGCGGCACATTGGTGAAGTTTTAATAGGTTGCAGAAGTAAGGAGGAGCAAGACCGTAGATGGCTTTAAAGTCGACCAGGATCTTGTATTGAATCCTCTGGGGAATGGGGATCCAGTGAAGCCGGGCAAGGATGGGGGTGATAGGCTCCTAAGCTTAGTGCGGGAGAGGACATGAGCTGCAGCGTTCTGAATAATCTGCATTTTGTGGAGGGAAGAGTTGGGAAGTCCGACGAGCCGGGAGTTAGCATAGTCAAGCCTGGATATAATGAAAGCGTGAATGAGGCTTACAGCAGACTGAAGGGGGGAGATGGTGGCAGAGACTGGCAATGTTGCAGAGGTGGAGGAAGACAGAATTGGTAATGGTACAGATGTGAGATTTAAAAGATAGATGAGGGTCGAACAAGACACCAAATCTCTACTGGCTCAGTGATGAGGAATGTGCATCCAATGTTTCATTTTGTCTTGTGTTGTGAGCAGGATGGTAAAGCTGTGTATAGTAAGGACCCTGCAGTTGTTTTTAAAGGAGGCGTATTTCTATTATTAGAAATAAAGGGAGGAAAATCGGGTCCATGATAATTACCCTGCCATAGAATTTGCAACGTGGATGGACTAGCTGAGCAAACTGCGACTGTACATCGGTCACTACCTACAACCTGCCACTTTTTCCAAGGCAATTCATAATTAGTGTAATGAAATAAAATATAGTCATTCTTCAGTAAATCTGTCACTTTAGCAAGGTGCAGAGAACAAATTATTTAACTCTTTTGAAACTATAGTCTAATGTGGGACTCAGTTATGTTATTATAACTAGACCTTTCTTGAAGGTTTTAAAGGGCCATTTCTGATTCCGTGTATACTTCTGTGATATAACTGAAAGAAAAAAAACAGTAACCTCGTGTGCATTACAGGAAAGCATGTACGGCTTCATCTCCTTACAACTGCACATTTATCTCAGGAAAGTGGAATGATCAAAATTTATTGACAATAAAACAGCATCTGGTAGAAAATATTTACTTGACAAAAGATTTTGTTTTGAGCAAACTTCAAACCTGGTGAAGTTTATTTTTAAAAAGAGTTCTTTTTCCTAATGTTAACTTTTTAAAATTTTATTTGTATTTTCAAAGACAAATTAACCCAATGCTATCGATTCTTGGAAATCAATATTTTCTGGTTTTGGTATGTAATTTATAGTGTTTTTCATTGTTAAGATTTAAAACGCAAGGTTTATGACGGAGTGATAAATGTTTTATTCTTGAACAAAGTGTTAGGCTAGAGCAAGCTGGCAGGTTTATTAAAAATTCCTAATCACTCTGTTCCTATGAATGCTCCCATGGCACAAAGCCAATGGTTATTCATTTCAAGCAATACATTACATAATAACCTATCTCACTTGGATTTATTCCAAAGACTAATCAATTTAATGTAGTTGCCATTAAGTTAGGAACTGCATATTGCCATGAAACTGCAAAAAAAAAAGTTTTGTTGCTTGGGGAAATATAAGATTGCTTAAGGCAGCTATCCAGCATTATATACTTTCAGCTGAAGAATAATGATCCTTGAATTCACTACCACACCTATAGAGAATGTTTGAGAGTGTTTCACAAAATCTGTGAAGTGTGGTGACGGTTGTCAAATGTAGGCAATCGCAGCAGCCAATGTGAGTGCAGAAATTTTTCATAAACTGTGGAAGCTGTAAAGTGAATGACTAATTTTATCTGGAGGATTGCTGGCCAGGACACCAGGGGAAACTCCTTTCTTTTTGATTAGTGCTATGATATCTTTAAAGTGCACCTGAGCAGGCAGAGGGCATCACTGGGGTGTCTGCTTCGAAGAGCTCAAAATTGTTCAAACTCTAAGCAGAGAAGGTTAAATACCAGCAACGTGAAAGACAAAAATTAAGAAATTTCAAAGGACTCCTTT